AGAATTGGACTGGAGGGAACATACCTCAACATAATTAAAGCCATACATAAAAAACCCACAGCCAACATCATTCTAAATGGAGAAAAACTGGAAGTATTCCCATTGAAATCAGGAACCAGACAAGGCTGTTCACTATCTCCAGTTCTCTTTAACATCGTGCTTGAAAGTCTTGCAAGGGCAATAAGACAAGAACAGGAAATTAAAGGAGTAATAATTGGAAAACAGATCAAATTATCCCATTTTTGCAGATGATATAATATCTAAGAGATGCCAAAAATTCCACCATAAAACTCCTAGAAATTATTAACACATTCAGTAAAGTGGCAGGTTACAAAATTAACCTGCAAAAGTCTGTAGCCTTTCTATATACCAATAACAAGTGATCAGAGAAAGAGCACATGGAAACACTCCCCTTCACAATAACTGAAAAAAATAAAATATCTCCCAATAAACCTGACCAAAGACATTAAAGAGGTCTACAATGAAAACTTTAAATCTTTAAAGAAAGACATTGAGGAAAACATCAGAGGATGGAGGACCTCCCATGCTCATGGATTGGAAGAATTAATATTGTGAAAATGACCAACCTACCAAAAGTCATTTATAGATTCAATGCAATGCCAATCAAAATCCCCATGACATTTTTCACAGAATTGGAAAAAAACATCCTAAGATTCATATGGAAGCACAAAAGACCTCGGATAGCCAAAGCAACCCTGAGCACTAAGAGCAATGTCGGGGGGATTACTATACTAGATTTTAAGTTGTATTACAGAGCTATAGTCATAAAAACAACATGGTACTGGCACAAAAATAAACCCATAGATCAATGTAACAAAATTGAAGACCCAAACATGAGTACATGCAATTGCAGCCACCTGATATTTGACAAAGGGGCCAAGAACATTAACTGGAGGAAAGACAGCATGTTCAACAAATGGTGCTGGCAAAACTGTATATCTTTAGAAGAATGAAACTAAACCCCTATCTTTCACCCTGCACAAAAGTCAATTCCAAATGGATCAAAGACCTCAATGTAAAGCCTGAAACTCTGAAACTGTTAGAAGAAAACATTCGGGGAAACCTACAAGACATAGGTGTAGGAAAGGATTTTCTAAACCAGACATCAATTGCTCAGGAAACAAGGGAAAAAAATTAACAAATGGGACCTCATTAAACTAAAAAGCTTCTGTACATCAAAGAGGCAACCAGGGAAATGAACAGAAAACCCACAGAATGAGAAAAAACTTCACCAGCGACACATCCGACAGAGGTTTAATATCCAGAATATATAAGAAACTCAAAAAACAGAGAATCAAGACAAGAAGCAACCCAATTAAAAGATGGGCTAAGGAGCTGAACAGAGAGTTCTCAAAAGAAGAAGTAAATATGGCTATGAAGCATCTTAAAAGATGTTCAACATCACTAATAATTAGGGAAATGCAAATTAAAACCACTTTAAGATTTCATCTTACCCCAGTCAGACAGGCTAAGATCAAGAGAACAGATAATACCAAATGTTGGAGAGGACGTGGGGAAAGGGGAACACTCCTCCACTGCTGGTGAGGCTGTAAACTGGTTCAACCCCTATGGAAAGCAGTATGGAGAACTCTTAAAAAACTACAAATGAACCTGCCATTTGATCCAGTTATACCACTCCTTGGCATGTACCCAAAGAACTCATCCTATTGCAGACACTTGTACATCCACGTTTGTTGCTGCTCTTTTCACAATAGCTAAGACATGGAAGCAACCTAAATGTCCCTCAATTTACAAGTGGATAATGAAAATGTGGTTCATTGCACATGGCAATTAATAACTGTTCGTAATTCCAGTTCAAGGGGATCCTACAGCCTCTTCTGTCCTCCGTGGGCATCGCACAACATGGGTGCACTTACCTACATGCAGGCAATACATGCATACACATAAAAATATAAAAATAATAAATAAAAATTTTAATGGGGTTATTTTAAGGGGAGTGGGGAGGGAAGGTTATACAGGAACCTAGGGGATAAAGGGAAAGAAGGAGCTCAAGAGAGGTAGGACCATAGGAGAAGGGTATTATCAAGGGAGAAAGGGGGGAAATGGGGGCACCTTAAGTGGGAAAACCATGATGGAGGGGTGAGAAAATGCGAGAGATAAATAATGCCTAGCTAATTTTAAAAATCAGAGGGAACCATATTACTCCAACAACCTACTATCAAATTATCCATAGCAGATCAAGAAATATATGTTTAGGTAAGGATTATATGAGAACAATTGGTCTTTGCCCAAGATTTATCTACTTGGCACACAATAATTAAAAGTACCAGACTGGTGGAACTAAACTTCTTGGATGTTTAACAGACATACTTTGA